AGATGATTATTTTTAAGACTTGTCATTTGCTTTAAGGCAATAAAAATTCTTGTACTTTCTTTCGCTTGGGGAGAGCGTTTTAGTTTTTTTATAGACAAATTTTTCATACATACAATATTTTGTACTCATAAATATAATATAAACAATATAAAAGAAATGTATAAAATAAACTCGAGTGTGTTGGAGTTAAATTTGTATAGGTCGAGCAAATAAATTAATTTTTCATTAAACTACAAAAACAAAAAAAATGTTGACTATTTCTTAACCTGTTTGTTTTGTTGAATCTAAAGCAATGTCTATGTCAGAAATAAGCTATTAGCTAATTTCGAAATTTGGGCTGAATTGAGATTAACTCGTAAGGTAATCTTTAAGCTTTGACAGTCATTGACCCTTGAATTTATTTTACTTAAATTCTAATTAATTAAAGTCTATTAAAGCGTAGACAGACAGTGTTGATCGAGTTTTTGAATCATTATACTTATACAAATTAAGGGGTTTTTAACCCTCATTGGCTAAAAGTGATGAAAAAATTGCACCTAATTTGGACCTAAGTTTGTACGCAATAGTTGAGATATTCATAAATTCGTTAATGTAAGTGCTGAATCTGGTAGGTACTGCTATATTCTGGTTATTCAAAAAATCCTTATATAGTTTCAANAACTCAGAGATAAAAATTAAATATTTGTCTATTGTATAAAATCTGAACCAGCTTCAACTTTATTAACTAATACATTATGCTTAAAAGTTCTGGGAATTAAAATCTCAAACTCAAAGGGCTGCAAAAAAATCTGCTCGTAATTTAGTAGATTGCTTTTTAGATGCCACTTATTTAAAGTCGTTATGTTGAAAATGTAAATGCATGAGGGATACACTTCTTTGTGCATACTAATAGCTTTCATTTTCCCCACTTATATAATAAGGAGGACAACACTGAAAATAACAGCAACTACATTGAAGTGTTCGCAGTATTAGCAGTTAGCAGAGCGAACAAAGCGTGAAAGTTGTGCAATCGGTCAAGGGATTCGTGACTCGCTCAATCTCAGTGCATCAGTGCAACGGTGCAATGCAGCCTTTTGTGTCAACATGGAAGCTGCACATATTCTTCAACACGTTCATATACACATCTATGTATATATGTGTAGATATTGGTAAAAGTTGAAGAGTCCGGCAGTTGATCTGGTACTTGCGGACTTATAAAAGTAATATTTAGAGAATCCATAGTGATGACTTTGCTGACCACAACGTTTTCTTCTCTTATTTACTGCTTAGTGGTCAGCAGATATAAATCTGAAAGTTTATTATATACTAATTGATATCTGAATGATTAGTTAGTGGACCAGTACTGTTCCACAATGAATTAGTCCTTTCTGATTCCCTAATGCGCACACCATACATGTGTTGCTGCGGAAAAACTATTGCAAGCATTGTTGCAGTAAAATCAAAAGCATTACCAACGGCTTCGGTAGCAACAACACCAGCTAGCGCCCTCGGTATTGGAAGTCTCCAAGCTCATTATGTTGCCAAACACAGCAAGACAATGCCACACAATAGTCAAACAACACCAACAAACAATGAGGAAAATAAAATTCGGAAAAAAGCTAAAAACAACACAACAAGCTGCAACAACTGACTTAACAATAAAGTGACTACAACAACATACATACAAGTGAGTACACTGCGCCATGCAGCTAACTGTAAGTGGGGCGAATATGAGCTCAAACTGCAAAACAATAACAACACAATGCTGTGAAAGAGCACGCGCACTGTCGTAGCTAATCTACAAATACAACAATAAATATGTTTGAGATAATGTTATTGGAAGAATATGGATGTGCATTGAGCAATCGGTCCAAACTATAAGCTAGGTAGGTAGGGGGACAGAGTAGTCGTATCCTAGGTGATCAGTACAGCTCACCTTATTCAAAATCATACTTCATTATTGATCGCTTATGTAAGGGATTTTTCGCAGTATTATGAACCTAAACCTAAATGGGGAGGCATCTTTTTATCAAATCGCAATAAAATTGTATAATATGTGAAACCTCGATCGGTTTTCACCGTTTTTCGAATAGTTTAGTAATAAGCTCAATGTTTCAAAAAACAAAAATATAGAAGGGTGCCAGCCAAAACTATAATATGGCTACCAAAATACAGAAATTTTAAAAGCATACAGTTGATAATATGATTGAGGATAGTTGCCACCTGTCTAGACAATTTATTTCAAAGATATCGCTCAGCTAAACCGGTTTTGCCATAATTTCTAGCAAACTAAAGGGATTTGGAAAAGCTTATGGCAGAAAATATGTTTTAAAAATGCTGCCACATGTTTGGTTTTTTAATAAAATTTCTAGAATAAATGAGATTTAACTAAATATAAACACAATTACATAGTTTGAAGAACTAAAAGCTTGAAATATATAATATTTAAAACTTTAATTATAAGAGATATATGCTAAAAGTGTTGCCAACTGTTTGAAAAATTATAGAAAAAAAAATGAAGGAAATGAATTCAATACTAATATCCAAGAAGAAAAAGATTCAAAAATTAAGTACTTCGAGCCTATTTATTTATATTTTTTAATTTAAAATGATACTGTGATGAACACGTTTGATAGAACAAAATCGAAACGACAATAAATTGCCAGAAGCAATTAGACAGCGAATTCGTAGTTGCCAGAATGTTATAGTAGCGAACTTTTGTTAAAGATTTACTATATAAGGGCTACCGGATTGTGCAGCAAGCACAGTTCTAGCTAGAGGGTTGTTGTGTTAAGAGCAATTGAGACATTAATTAGAAGTTGTAAGCTCGAATAACGAGCAATAAGTGTTGAAATAAGTTGTTGAAAGTATTATAAAGATAATGTGCATTGCCATTAAATTAAGACTTTTATTTAACAATCCAGTGATCGAACTCAAGAGTGAGTTATAGGTAGACGATTTATCAAGAAATCCGTTACAATACTATATTTTATATAAAACAAGCCACATATAGAGTCGCACTTGAACATACAATTTCCACTTTTCTAAGTATTCAAGCGCTGCTGACTAGTCATTCATATGATTTAGTTAAGAATTGAATGAATATGAGCTATACAACCGAAGTTAGCTTTCTATATCACTTATATTTTCGGCTAATAACTCGGTACTAATTCTAAAGGAAAGTTATGAACTCAAGCTCAAAAAGATTTCGAAAAAAAATTTTCAAATTTCAAAATATTTTGAACTATGTCATACATATCAACATCTTTGTAATTATGTAACGTAATGAAACGTTAAACAAATATTCTTTAAATGTGGCAGCCATGTGTGTGCCGTAACTCCTTTAAATATCAATATTTTGTGCACGAATACCTAACTTTAAGTGCCTTCTCGTTTGTTAGTGTACCTGTACACGTGCGTGTCTAAGCACACATTTGCACTTTTTGCGAAACTGCGAAACTTTAACATTATGTCATATTTTACTTTTTATTTTATTTTTACTTTTTTTTTTGTATGTACTCACCGCACAAATGCATATCCTTTGTCCTTGAACACCCTTATCTCCTGAATTGTGCCATAGGGAGAGAAAGTTTTCTGCAAAATATCCTCGTTTAGAAAGCCGGACAATGCACCATTGATGCCACCACAATAGACGGTGCAATTAGTGGGACTGCTTTGGTTGTACACCTCATCGAAGGTTAAAGGTTTGGCATTAACTAATGGAAAAAGCAAAGTAGATTAGTACAAAACAATAAAATACAAAATTGAAAGCGTTCGCAAAGGTGTGGAATAAAACGAGAAGAGTTATTGTGTGCTTGCGATAAATTACGAGGGGCGCTAAACAGTTTTTGAATCTATTGTTATATTGCTGACATGGGAGAATTGTTTAGCTTAATTATTATTATTATTGGTATTAATTGAATCCTATAGGTTTTTACAAATTCTCGAATATTCATAACTAAATCCATTTTTATGTGTTGTCTTCAGGGTCATTTAACTGTAGATCCAAGATGTCTTCAACGATTAGAAGACGGTGTTGGTAGCAACGTTTCTCTACCCCTTTAATAAACGGATGTTGGTCGATTTGCCAGATCTATATCTGGACGTTTATTGACTGTGTACTTTCTGGGAGCCATGTTGATGGTCTGCTAGACTCATGTGGTGAGCGAAGGTTGGGAGTAACAAGATCTAAGTATCTGCCCTACTGGGGAAACAAGAGTTATGGGAAGAATAAGACTCCCTTAAGTTTGCGGGTTTTCCAGGTTTCATCAGGTTGAGAACCTTGGTTAGTCACATTAATTCCGTCTGGGCAAATGTACAATACTGGATTTTATCCAGTTAAGGATTGTTTTTTTCAGCGATCTAACCCTATTTGTTATTGTATTCATCGTCTTCAGTTCTTTTTAGGCAAGCAACTGACGAATAGTTTTGTTTAGTTTTACCAGATTATTTTAGTATTTTTTCATTAAGTCGACTTATTCGATTTTTACTAAAAAGAACTTAGAGCTGTATGTTAAATATTTTGACAAACGACGTAAATGAGTAGAGCCAAAGTAAAAAACGGAAAAGCAATATTTTCGAAAAACTCTCGGGTTTCTCATGAAACAAACTCCAAAACTTATCTGATGCCCTTCGTATTAATCTCATTTTACTATTTCGTTTTTGTCTTGCAGCGCAAACACGTTTTCCTCTTATTGGAATTGCGCTGATTTACTTACCATCCAATTTTGTCGCCGGCGGTTTTCTTGTAGCCCAATTCGTGCGTATCGAACGAGAGCCCAACCATTGACCATTCATAGCGGTAATGGCATTTTCCGCTTCCTGCAATGACACAAAGCACAAATCCAGTTAAATGTAATAGATAAATACTTTTTAAAGCAAATAAAAACTATTGCAAAGTAAAGAAGTACACATGTACATATAAATGGTGAATAAATATAAGACAAATGAAAAGCAAAGACAGCGAATTCCATGAAGCTAAGCAAAACTTAATTGCATTTCTACGCTGTTTGGCAAAATCAAAGTCGCACTGAGTTTATGATTTATACAAAGTAAATAGTTGACACAGCGGACAGAGTGCTGGATGAAGGCTTACGAATATACTTGCTTGCTGGTAAATGATTGCAAAATGGACATTAGCACACACACATATGTACACATGTGCATATTTATAAAAATAAATCTGCTTTTGATAATCTGCTGACGATGAAGTGGACGTTGAGCGATCGAAGCCTGCAGCAATTTCCAAAGAAAATAATTTCAACTATTCCCTTTAAGCTTTTTGCAAATTATTTAAAAGCGGCAAAGCAAACAAATCGTCGTGGTAGCGAGTTGATTACTTCAAAGCATACATACAGGGTGGTACGTATGATGAATTATTTATTTTAGAAAAAAATGTGAGGGGGACATTACTTAGATGTAGCAACCGTTTCGAAAACTGGAGCAGAGAGAAAATCTTATTGATATGGCTTCCTCACTTTGCCTAACATAACTCATGTCTTTAGAGCCGTTGTCCAAGATTTTGGAGATGATAAGCCTGCTCGAAAATTTCCCCAAGTTCGTAATAGTCTAAGAAACTATTGTATCATTCTAACTATCCCACCTGAATTGTTTAAAAGCTTATGAATTGCCCTCCTAAGATGTCAGTTACACTTTTCAGATTTTCAGAAATTTTTCCAAAACCAGATTTTACACAAGTCTATACCTATGTTATACTTTAAATGCTAAAATCGCTTATTAAAAATTAAATTTCAGTTATGTGGCTCTGAACGGTTTTTCCTAATTTTGTGAGAGTTTCTTGCTCTATATCATAACTAGATAGATTGAGCATTGTTCTAATGTCCTGAATCCTTAATAAATTCTTCGCAGATAACATCAGTCTTTTACACTTCATCACGTAATGTGTGTGAATATAACTGATCTGAGGATATACCACTTCTGTGAAAGATTTTCTAACAGTTTTAATACATTTTTAATCTTAAATGTTTTTCATGCAAGGAAAAATGAAAGATAAGGTTCCCTAAAAATGTATCTCCAGAATAATTTACTCTAATGCTCCAAGAATTTTACAGTTTATTGCTTTATCCCTTGCTAACTCGAGAATTGCCGCATGGTCCTGAATTCTTAATGGTTTATTCCCTTCCCCAAAAATCTTAAGTCTGAGTTCCAAAGGGGTAATAATAATAACCCAACGATTACACTCCTCCCGCCCAACCGACGCGAAGGGCGCAATCCGCATACGTTCCGCGTCAGAAAAGGCAAGAGAGTTTTGAGATCTAAAACTGTTCAGCTACAGAAACAAGAATTCCAAAAGCTAAGATTTATAGTTACGATATAGTAAATGTTACATTTTTATTTATTAAGAGAATACAATAAACTCTTTTTAATTTTAAAAAGTGAGTCAGACATGTCGAATGAGCTGGAATGAGAATTAAAACCATGACATAACGGAATGGGTCGTTTAGTTCGAAATTTTATCTACAGGATTTTAACAGTAAACGTCTAAACTGCCTCGAAAAGCGAACCGGGGTATTAAGTTTAATTTCGGACAGGAAAAAAGAACTGCTAACTGTTCCATCAGGATTTTCATTAAGAATATTATGTCAAGCATTTCCCTAAACCTAGAAAGTATAAGTAGATTTATAAGTTTTAAACGACCACTGTTTGTAGGTAGACTTACCCTAGAATCCCATCGGAAATTCTCTAAGGCGAAAAGTAAAAAATGTTTTTGAGCAGACTCTAACTTGTCAGAATGGATTTGGTAACTAGGGTTCCATACGACAGAGCCATATTCCAATATAGGTCTAACCAAAGTTGTAAAAAGTGCTTCAGTAATATACGGATCTCTAAGTTCTTTAGATCAACGTTTAACATAACTGAGGACAGCTTTTGCTGTCAAGACTAAAATAAAGCTTAGGCTCCATATTAACTTCGAAATCAACATAGTTAAAAATTGCTCTAGACTATGGTGTTTTATTACATAAGGAGAGGGGTGCACAGATCTACGGGAAAATCACATTTATTGAGGATTCTATGCAACCAAATTATTTAAGTCTGTTTGCAACAGACACCTTTCATCGGTTGAAGTGTATGGTTTAAAAAGCTTTACGTCGTCGGCGTATAATATAATAAAATTTTTAGAGTTCTATTACAGAAGAGATATCGTTAATAAACAACAAGAACGAAATCGGACCAAGATGACTTATGAAACACATGATTTGCAAGTTCAAGCAAGTTTGTTAGAGCTGATTTCCCTTTACGAAATCCATGCTGAGATGAAGTAATTAACCGATAATGTGAAAAAGTTATATGATAACCGATGATAGCTTCAAAAAGTTTAGGTATAACTGATAATTTTGCAATACCTCTATAGTTTTCAATGTAGGACCTAAATCCACTTTTATGCAAAGGGATGGTTAATGCCCGTTTCCATATTGAAGTAAATATATTGGACACTATTTTTTAGGAAGCATGTGGATATCATGTCTGGGCCCTAACTAAAAGATGGTTTATACTTACTTAAATTAAGTAGGACGTCTTCTTCAGAAAAAAATGGAGCGTTAATTAAAGTATTCGGACACAGCACGTGAACTTTTCTGAGATAGCGGAACATTTTTTGGAATCAGACCAACCCAGTTATATTATATTTGATATATCAATAATCGAGTTTTCTGCGTCGACGTCATCTAACCTAACAAAAAAAAAACATTGGTCCATTTTTCCAAGTCACAGCGCTCCAGCATTTGTCCATTAGAAACGTAATATTATATACAAGTATAGCATTATACGAACCACCCATTGCATACATGCATAGCGACATAAATGACACGAGTACGAAAGTTACTGTCCGCTTCTGAACTAATCCGTTAGCTATGGACAGCTATAAATATATTCAGCTACAGTAGTAGCTGTAGCATTGTGTTGTTGTTGTAAATTTCTGCAACTTCTGTGTTTCTGCTGCTGCTATGTTGCTCCACTGCTAGACGCTAGCCCTACTGGCTGCCAAACTTAACAAATTCTTTATTTTAGCCACTGGCGTTGGCAGCGAATTCCATGGGGTGCGCTTGGCGTTTGGCTGTCAGCGTTCGACCCTCGCCTAAAATAAAAAAGGAACTTTCCTGAAATTTGTGCGCGCTCGGTTCCATTGACGCTTTAATGGCACAAACTTAAATTGACTTTTCCACAATGTCAACAGAGAGCGGCGTCAATGAAGACAAGTGCGGGGCCGAAGGCGGGAAAAGTGCAGAAACCATAATGCAAAAGAGGGAGAAAAACTGCAGCACAGCTGAGGGAAAAGAAACTCTATGCAAAAACTATGCACTAATTTTAATAAAACAAAAACTTCAACTATTCAAAGCAAAAAGAGAGAAAGAGAGTGAGAAACATAAAGCAAGCCAAGGGAAAGTTCTTGCAATATAAGCAATGTAAATAACAAGTTTGCAACAAATGCAACAATAGCAAGAAAATATGGGAAAAAGTTGACTCCATTGTTTGCCGGCAGCAAAGTTTTGCGATTTGGGCATTTGGGATGTGAGCGAATGCCAATAACAGCAATATGTTCCATCAACCGTGTTGTTGTTGTTTGGTTTTACAACGCGCCGTGTTGCAATACAAACAAAAGACAAAAAATCAAAAATAAGCACAGATATGAAGCTGAAGACGAAATAAAAATTAAGTCTGGCGCAAGAATTTCGATGAGTTGAGGAAAGAAACAAAGAAAGTCACCGTGAAGCGGTGCAAAATGTCAGCAGCTGTAAACACTAAAGTGGCAACATTATTACGGACTTTAATTCCCAGGGTTAATAGAAACAAGATGTTGCCAGATTGTGGTAAACGTAAATGGAAATGGAATGGTTTGAAATACTTTCAAATAAAAGAGAAAAAGATTTAGGTAAATTATCCTTAATAAAACTATATGGGATTAATTACATATTATTCGCAAAATTATTAAGTCTTGAGGGAAATCTGAGAGATGAACGTGTCCTGTTTTACATATTAACCGAAAATAGAATACGCTTTACAAATAAAGAATTTGTATACCTTGATTGATTTTAATCGTGCAAGATATTTTGTCAAAAACGAAAGTTTTTCATATAACAACTCAATTCTGTTCGTTCAGTTTGAATGGCAGCTAATGATAAAGTGGTCCAATATCGGCGGTTTCGACAAACGAGCAACTTCTTGGAAAGTCTTGCACGTTTGCAAAATTTCAGAGCGATATTTCATAAACCGAGAGTCTAGTTTGCATATATGCAGGCAGACGGACATGTCTAAATCAACTCAGCGCCTTACGCTGATTACATACATATATGTACATATATATATTTTATGGTGTCTCCGACTATTCCTTCTGGGTGTTACAAGCTTCATGGCGAACTTTATATTCCCTGTGAAGGGTAAAATAAAAGGTTCTTTCGAATAGCGTTCGTTGCTGGCGGAATATTTAGCAAACGGAATAGGATATCTGATCGCGAACGGTCCTCTCTGAAGTCCAAGCGAGATTGTAGGTATTAAAACCGTTCTCTACGTATACCGGCTATGCGACCTAAGACCAACACTTTCTTCATATTTCAACCCTCTTAAATGAGAGGGCATACACATCTGATTAATTAAGAGTAATTTAAATTAAGAGTTTTCCAAACACAAAACGACAATTTCAACCCAAGTTTTAGAAAATATTTGTTATGTAGCACTGCCTGCATCACACATATGTATATGTATATATATATATATATATTTATAACTATGTTAATTGTAAGTGCTTTATCTTAAACATCAAAACCTTCGTTCGCCCACAACGCTTTGCTCTATTGCAAGCTTTA